GAAATAGAAATAATAAATATATTATTCAAATTGATAAACTATATTTTTTTAATTTAACACAATAACTCTTTTATTAACTAACTAAAGTAATGCGCTGGATAAATATTTTGCATCTTTGATAAATTATTATTAGATAAAAAAATAATTATATAAAACTTCATTATTCCTATATATAACATATTTTTAAATAAATTATATATATATATATATATATATATAAACTAAAATATATATAATATTAATAGTAGTTTTCTTTTCGACTAAGTTAATTTTTGTTTAAAATCAAATTTTCTATATCTTCATCTGTCATTATAAAAATTGAATTTCACTTTCTCGTCTTTCAAAATATCTCATATGATCTCTAAATTAACACATTTCAAAATATCATATGATTTTTGACATATTTTCTTTACAAAGTTATAAACCTTTATAATTACAAAAGATGTGAGAAATATCTTTAAATTTTATTTTATATTAAATGTTTTCAAGATTTTCAAATTTATCTCTCCATTTATATATATAATAATATATAAATTTTTTTTCTCTTTTAACAGTTGTGTTTAATAGAATATTTATCTTATATATTTTCTCTCCTCTATTTTGTTAATGTTATATTTTTCTCAAATTTTATTGAATATAAACTAAATAAATAAAATTAATTAAAAATGATATATTCTCTTTCACTAACTCAATTATATGTTTTTTTTCTTTAGAATATAAACAAAATAATTTTTTGTTTTCTTTTCTTGATTTTTCTCTATTTTTATATATAATAATATTTATATTTTAAAATTAGTATATCCATTAAATTTTAATTTATTAAAATAACAACACAATAAAGAGGGGTTTCTAATGGTACGTGGTTATAAAAATTGAACCTCACCCTTTTTCTTAACCTATTTTATTTATGTGACAATATAATAATATTTAGATCTCATCTATTACAATAATTAACACATTTTAGGTATTTTTTATTTTAAAACTTTAATTTGTCACAATTTCATCCTTAAAAAGATGTTTTGATGAGTTAAAAAATAAGGATATATAAAATAATTTATATACATCTTCCTATTTCTCAACTTATTAATGAACCTTTGAAAAATAATAAGGAATTAGAGTTTCAAAACGCATAATACATTACACTTGATAATGAGCCCTAACAATATTATTATAATGAACATGAGGTTATAACACTTTTCAACGAAATATTAGTGACTACTATAGGATCAAGATTAGAGTCTTACTTATCTCCTACCCCTTCAATCGGAGACTATGTCGACATGCTTATGAATCATATATAACTTAAAAGTTGTGACCAAAATTAATTTACATACACATTGTTCTCTTAAGTTATCGAAACGTCTATAAATAATAAAACAACAACAAACTATAGTTTCAAAATGAATAAAATATTAGACGTAATAATTATCTTTGACAATAATATCTTAATAAATATGAAATTAGGACAATATCTTTCATAATAATTTTAAACTTTACTTTAAAATTTTGAAGAATATATTTTTCCATTTGATGCACACAAACATAACCTTTTTTATTTGAAGTATATCCCAAAAATATGCATGCACGAGACTTAATCAAATTTAAGTTGATTATAGGATCTTAGCAAAAGGATAGAAGTACAACCAAAAACTTTAAACATAATGTAATAAGGTTTCTTTCCATAAATAACTTGAAAAGGAGTGTCACAGAGGGGTGGGAAAACTATTTATGATCACGGTGACAACAAGAAAAACATGGGCCAATATTTTAAAGAGAGAAAAGCATGACAAATCTTAATTACATGCTTGTGCTTAATAACACCATTTATTGGTGTGTACGAGGACAAGTGAGTTTCTGACGTATTAAAGTAGCGTTAAGAAATTTACCAAACTTTAATTTGCACGATTAGTTTCTATAGATTTGATCTTGATACCTAATTGATTTTCAGTAAACATTTAAACCTAATAAACACAGTAAAAGCCTGAAATTTAGAATGCAGAAGGCATATCCAAGTGAATTTAGAATAAACATCAAGAAAAGATATGTAATACCAATCACCATTAACAGAGCACATGGGAGGGACTCCAAATATCAATGTAAACAAGTTCAAGCGGTTTATTATAATTAGAATCATAAATAAAAAATGTAATTGATGAGATTTAGCAAGAACACATGATTCACAAAACATATGAGAGGTATTAGCAGTAATATTATAATCTTTAATAATTCTTTGAACAGTTTTTTGCTATGCATGGCTCATCGTAGCATGTCAAAGTTGAAACACAACAAAATCACGATTCACAGTTGTATGATTGGTAGAAGACTAAAGAATGGGACGCAAAGGAGGAAAGACATAAATCCCATTTATTTAAGTCATGTTTATTCTCAATTTAATTTGTGTTTGGACCGCGATACAAGTCTAGCCCATTGCAATATACGGCCCATATTAAATTTCTCATGTACTTCTTTTAAGCAGAATTTATATTCCTAATTGGGTTGGGCTACTGAGTTTATGTTGCCGAACCCAGTCAGTGAATTTTGTTATTTATACCTCTTAATTTAATAATTACCACATTCCTTTTATTTATTTTTTTCAACTATTTGTATCACTTAAAATACTTTTTTTTGTAAAGAGTGCAGGGAAGGCCCCAAGCACCAAGGCAAGTATAATAGGAAACTTGTTTTCAATTCTGAGAGCACTGTTTTGTAAAGAGTGTGATACTTTCTTTTAAGTCTTGGAAATTCACTTGTTAATTCTCTATTTCATTTATTTTGAGTCAATTCCAAGTAATGTGTTTTTCTATTATTCTTCTTATTCCATCTTTTACTTTTATTTGGTTGTTCTATTGTATTCATGAGATCTTATCTCTCATATTCATATTTTGTTTTTATGTTCATATATTCATGATTTCCCGACTAATGTTTAATAATCATGAGATAATTTTTTTTATTAAATATTAAGAGATTTATATTTGAATTATTTTTAAAAAAACTTGAATTAACTGATTCAATAAGTAAATCAACTGGGTTTAATAAAATCTAAGGAAAAATCATCTTGTAATATTTTAGAATAAAATAAATAAAAGGTAATATTATTTAACAAAGGTTAAAATGTGAGCCGTATTTTAAAATACGTGATAATAATTTTAAAAATTATTTTTAATTTTATAATGATGATTTATTTATAAATATCGATGTTACATATAATATAATAACTGCTGCAAATAAATTGTCACTAGACGTGAAAAAAAAATTAGACGAAAGATCAATATATACCAAATAATTATTATATAAAAATAAATATATTATATAAAATATTTAACCACATGTTAAATATTAGTAATTAAATTTAAAATTTTAAAATTAATTTTATTTATTTAATTATTATTATTTTTAAATAAATTTATAATTTTCATTTTAAATAATTTTTTTTTCATATTTTAATATTAAAATAAAATATTATAAAATATTAAAATAACTAACTAATTGATAAAAATTTTAAAAATTATATATTTTATTTTTTATATTAAATTACACATGATGAGTGTTAAATAATAATAAAAAATTGTTTATTATTTTTTTTACTTTAAGAAAATTATTTTGAATATTTTTTTAACTTTTTCTTATGTCTTCAATCACTACAAAAAAATATGTTATTTATAACGGTTAAAATTGTAGATTTTAGAAGTTAAAAACTGTTACATATAAAATTTGTAACAATTAACACAACCTGTTATATTTGTAGATGTCAAAAACGATTTGTAACAGAATTTTTTAAATGCTTGGTATTTATATCAAAAAACAAAAACAAAAATTTCAACAGTTAAAAATCGCCATAAAATGCATTATTATTCTCATTTTAATTTAACATTTTGTTGCAATTTGAAATTGTTACAAATGTTATTTTTATAATTAATTTTATATTTCAACAATTAAAAACTGTTGCAAAATATATAATATTTTATAATTATTTAAAACTTATTGGAGGTTTAAAAAACCACCAAAAATTATTTAATTACTATTTTTTAATTATTTTATCAATAAATCAAAATTTTAATTATTATTTACAAATTATTTTTTAATAATTTTATAATTAATAATTAAAATACTTTTTTATTTAGAATTACTTTAAAATACCACCATAAGTGTAATAATAATTTAATCATTATAATAAAATCAATAATCTAACTAAATGTATAATATATTTTTCATTTGTTTTAATGACATAAAATATTAGTTTTATTCTCACTAAAAAATGGTTAAATTTGTAGTTTTTAGATATAATTTACTTTGACGAGTACTTAACTAAATATAATTCAATATCAAGTAAGATAAAATCAAACTTCATCCTAAAAGTCTAATAAAATTCATCACATTATTCATTAATAAAGTGTTTCTAACAAAATATGATGTCAATAGATCCACAAATTTCATAACATATATGTCAAACTTAATGAAAATTATTGTCCAATGAGTATCCTCCTATGATATTGACATATTTCATTCACTTGTTTCATCCTGTGAAATAAAAATAACATCATCTTAATATAGTTAAATATATATATATATATATATATATATATATATATAAGATATTAAACTTCATAGAAATAATTAACAACATAATTTTATTAACACAAAATATGAAATACTTACATATAATGTCAAACTTTATGAAAATTACTATCTAAAGAAGATTCTCCTTGTGGTGTTGACATATCTTGTCCACTCTCTTCATCCTATAAAATAAAGATCATATCATGTAAGCATAATTAGAAATTATACATAAGATATTGAACTTTATACAAGTATTGAATAATATAATTTCATTTAAAACAAACTATAAAGTACTTACAACTATATTACTTGTACTACCAAACATGACACCAACTAATGTGTGGGCCATTAATTATAAATTGATAGAGGACAAAAGGTCTAAAGAGTTTTGTATAAATCTAGAAAGAACATTGTATAAATAATCTAACAGAGCACCTTCTCCTTCACTTCACTTCAGTCACATTTCCTCTGTGTTTGTTTCCTATTCTCAAAGACACTTCACAAACACGTTTCAGTCCAATAATTTTATCATCTTCCATTATTTTATCCCAGTCAAATCTCTCGGCAATGTCATTCAGCAATTCTGCTATTTGCTCATATTTCATAGGACGCAAGCTTCCAAACTCAAAACCAAACTTCTCATGTTCAGTACCTATTCTACAAGACCACGTGAAAAAATAACCACCTACAGACATACAAGCTAGTTATCAACACAAGACAACTTAAATTTTAAACCTCCAAGAAAACTAGTGAGGTGCTATATAAACTTAACTAAAAATACAAACTCAAACGAGGAAAGAAAAATAACGAAAAAAGCCTCATTGTGAAAAACAAACACGAAAACTAGGAAAATGGTTTTCCTCAGTCCAAATTTATTATCTATCACTTTAGAAAAATATTTTCCAGCTACTTTATATATTTCTTCAAAAAACCGTGTGATGACTGTGAGCCTAGCCCATTGAGCAATACTATAGTGTTGCTGACTATTTGAGCATTGCTACAGTGTGGTGAGTGTTTCATTAAAAATTGTCGAAACAAAGGTTTTAAATGATAGTTGTGAACTTGTGATCGTGGTTGTGGTTGCAGTTTTGTCGTGATCCTTGATATTGCAGACAATGTGGTTGTTGACTGAGGTAATGCAGTCGCTGGACTGCAAAAACCTAGACGTTACAGCTGCAATTATTGTCACTGACAGCTTAAACCTTGGTCTAAATGAAACATATACTCTCACCATGAGTCAAAAAAGCAGTAAGGCTAGCAATAATCATATTATTGTAAACTAGATATAGTATCTATCTAGCAGTGAGTTGAGGAAACTGGATGTAGGACCAAAAACCGAGACTTATTACATTCAAAACATAAACCAATTCCAAGCAATTGTATCATTTTACAAAGGAAACTAATCATAACTATCTTAATTCGTCTACAACAGCTTCAAAGTGATAAAAACAACCTAGCATCTTGGCCCAGTTGTTGTTAAGTGTATGTCCTGGGACAAAAGTGTTAAAAAAAATGCACTCTTAGGATCCTAAGTTGAAAGATTAAAAAACAAAACCTGATAAAAACAAATTGAAATGCAAATTGATTTTAGAATGATAGAGAAAGTATGCCTTCAGCAATCAAATCACTTATCAATTTCTTTCATGCATTCCTTCGAACACCTGAAAGACAATCGAAAATCAAAACTTAGTCATTCCAAAATAGTTAATTGTCTGTCACAAGCTCTACAAATATGTTCTATAGCAATTAACAGTGACTCAATAATTCGCAATGTGGCTCGAAATACAAACAGAACAACAACAAAATACAACGAAACAAGAAATGATATTAAAAGTTTCGTACCGAGGTTAAGGAAAAACAAAGAACGATTGAATGTAGATTGTCATGCGTCACAGAGAAGGAGAAATTAGCATATATTGTAAATTGAAGAACAAATGATAGATAAAACTCTTGTAATCTTCCACAAAAATCACAAACATGTGAAATTGAAAAGTAAAACGTAAGAAGGATTAAACCTGAATTGGTGATTGAGAGAGGATATGTGACCTTGCAGTGAAGGATGAGTGTGAAAATGAAAGAAACGGTAAAGAGAGAAACATACGACAAAGAGAGAAAGAGAAGGTAGAAGAAAGTGAGAGAATAAAAAAAAAAAGAAAATAAATAAAAATAAAATAAAATAAAAAAAATTAAAATTAATTATAATTATTGTGTCAGTTAAATTTTTTGTCATAAATTACCTTTAATTTGTACGGGTTTTTATAACGGCTGAAAAAAACCCTCTAATCATCAAGAAGTTTTTTGTAGTGAATGTGAATAGAAAAAATAAAAAACTAAAAAATAAAATATTACAACTTTTATGTTATAAAGACAAAACTATAAAAAAGAAAATAATTTGAAAACTATTGAGAAAAGCTTACAAATTTTTATGCCATAAGGTGAAACAATAAAAAAAATATTAAAATGAATAAGTGAATAATATTAAAATGAATGTGTGTAAAGAAAAAGATAAAATTGTGAAAAGACATACTGAGTCTTGAATAGAAAAAAATTGAGATGGGAAAGTGAATAAATGAAAGAAGAAGAAAAAAAATATCAAGATAGAAGGAAGAGAGAGAAAAAAATGTAATTACAAAATTGCGTAATAAAATAAATATGATATTTATTATAAATAAAAAATTAGGAGGTGATGTGTAAAACACGTTCTTTTCAAATAACAGTTATTTTATAATTATTATAATTATCATATGTTACCTATAATAAATATAAATAGAATAATTATTGTATATTTAACTTTTTTTAACTATGATTCTTCTATAATTATTGTCATATATCACATCCAAAAATATTATAATAAAATCGTCATTTTATATCTTGTTAAACTTTTTTACTTGACCCGTTTTATTTATTTTGTCTTTATACTCCCACTTTTATTTTTTTTCTTCTTTTTTTTCTCTTTTGTATGATTGCAACTCTCCCCTTCTCTATTTGTCATTGTGATTCACTTTTTTTCTTCTTCTTCTTTCTCTTTCTCTCATTTTCAAAATGTTTTTCTCCATTAAGAATGTTTCCAACAAGTTTCCACAAAGGAGAGAAAAATAATGAAAGATAAAGTTTTTGTTTTTGTTAAATATATTGTAATTGTGTCCAAGAACAAAAGTGAGAAATTAATAAAATCTTGTAAGTTAGTTATTATATAGTAACAACTAGAAAGCAATTAATTTTTTTTAGTTAAAATCATTAGTCAAAATTTGTTTAACGTGTTTTTTATAAGACTTGGTTTCTAGAACTAGTTTCCGCCACTTTCGAGTTGTTACCATGTAGCATGGGTTGATACCATGCATTGTGGGTTATTATGTATTATTTTTGTTTCATGCAAGTTTATATAAGCCATTTTTATTCCATTGAATAACACATATATTTCTTTCAATGTTTCTTTACGGTACATTTATGTGTTTGACAATTAGTATCAGAGCTCCGAAAGGACCTGGTACGGTGTGAAGAGAGAAACACATTGAACAAGTGTGAGGTGAAGAACTGTACATGTGAGGAAAAGAAAATATTCTAAAGGTTCAATATGTTTACATCTAAAAAATTTGTTCAACCAATCATCCCAAAGTTTGATGACCACTATGAATTTTGGTCAATGACAATAAAGATTTTCCTATGAAGTAAAGAAATGTGGCATCTTATAGAAGAAGTTATATCAACCCTTGTAACTAAAACAACACCAACTGAGTCAGAACAAAAGATTATAGAAGAGACCAAGTTAAAAGATTTGAAAGTCAAGAGTTTCTTGTTTCAAGTCATTGATAGAGAAATTCTTGAAACTATTTTTGACAAAGGAACTTAAAAGGAAATATGGAGCTCCATGTAGAAAAAGTATCAAGGGTCCACAAAGGTGAAACAACACAACTTCAAGCATTAAGACGAGAGTTTGAATTGCTCTCTATGAAAGAAAGGGAGACGATTGAGAACTACATGGGCAGAACTCTCCATGTGGTCAACAAAATGAAATCAAATGGTGAAGCAATGGAGGAAAGTACAATTGTTAGCAAAATACTCAAATCTTTGACATCTAAGTTCAACTATGTTATATGTTCAATAGAAGAATCAAATAATTTGGGTATCTTTAGCATTAATGAACTACATGGCAACCTTTTGGTGTATGAGCAACACATGCAGAATTTCCAAATATAAGAACAAGTCTTGGACATTGTCGTTTTGATTACCTTAACTACAATGGACTAAACACAATTGCATGTAAGAAGATAGTCATTGGACTTCCATCACTGAAGTCCTCAAAAGGAATTTGCGTTACCTGTCTCATTGACAAGCAGCAACAAGATTCAATACCAAAGAAAAGCTTGTGGAGGGCCTTAAAGTAACTTCAACTAATCCATGTTAATATTTGTGGTCCCATTGCACCATCCTCAAACAACAAGAGGTACATATTAAGCTTCCTTGATGATTTTTCTCATAAAACCTAGATCTAATTTTTGCAAGAGAAATCAAAAGCACTTATTATGTTCAAAAGATTCAAATGGGTCTTTAAAACCAAACTTAACGAACGTGGGAATGTTGAGAAGCATAAGACACAAGTGATGGCAAAAAGATATTCACAACAGTATGGCGTGGATTACATCAAAGTATTTGTCATAGGAATGAAGACCTTTCAATAGAGCAGAGGTGAATTGATCAACGAGAAAGAGGCCTTACTCATTACAAACGAATACATCACAAGATCGAACTACACTCATGCCTCTCTTGCATCAAGTTGACCGACCCCCTACGTAGTTCTTCTATCAATCATGTACATAGGTAGGGTACTCCATTTTGATCGGTATATCATGAAAAAAGCAATTTGCACCAGGTGCATTGCGCTTTCTCTTGCCTAGATGTTCACCTTTTTAAGTAAAGTAATGGTGATCCGCCGAAGGTTGAGCCTCAAAACATGTTGACGAAGGCCCCCAAACTAAGGGTTTGATCCGTAGAGGGGACGACTTTCCCTCCCCAGAAGAAGAATAACCTTGCTCTCTAGCCGACTGATCTCATAAATCATGTAACTGGGAGGGACGTGTCACATTAGAGGTGAACGATCAGATATGTCCGATAATTACCACAATGAGGTTGGTCCCTCTTTGATTTTAGTAGACTAAACTATGAATACAAATGAAGAAATGAATGAATGTCAGACTCTTTCTTATACTACTAAACCCAATAAGTAAATTTCTTAATGCTGATATTTTGTGTTTCATCGAGCCCCGAGCTTGTGGTCCTCCTTTGAGTGTGGGTTCCATTGGATGAATCTTTCAAGTCAAGGTTCACATACATAGCAGCAAGAATGGTGCAGGTCCTATTTCTCGTTCTCGCTTGAGAGCTAAAACGAACACGCCTGCTACCTATTGTACTGGACCTTCGACCAGACATTCTACCCTTGTTGAATTGGAACCAACCACCATTGTATTGCGCTCGAACAGTTTATTGGTCGTCGACTAGCAACTTTTGTACTGTGTACACAGATATAGATTCATTTTTTGTACCTGGTCCAACCTCACAACCCTTCGCGGGTTGGTCAAAAGTCAGTATTGTTTGGTAAGACTCTATTGAACAAAGCAAAGAAAAGGGAGTGCTCGATCGGAACAACGATCAACAAATACTGTAATTACATAGATAATTTCTCCTCCCTTTATCCATCTTTAAGGCGAACCATATGGCGGTCAGAAAAAGAAAAAAAGACAACCTCACCTTCTCGTAGATGGTGTTAGTGAGAACAACTTAAGTATTCATATTGACCTTTTTTTATAGATAAAATCTTCAATAAGTGGAAACAACTTACTAATAAAGGTGCGCTTGTTGAGTAAGATCGTTTTTTTTTTCTTGCAGGAGTGCTAACACGTATTGAATATAACGAAAAACTAAGTATAAAGTTAATTATTTTATGTCTAAAATACACATAAAATAATATATTTATAATTAAGAGTCATATAAATAAATATGATAAATAAATATATTGTGCTTAATAATATCTAAAATATTTAACAAAATTAAATATGAAATCCTAGCTTAAAAATAAAAAATAAATATTTTATAATAAATCTCATATTTAAATTGTTTTAAATTAAAAAGTGTATCATGACTTAAAAAGAAAAATAAATATTTTTTAATAGTTCTTACATTTAAATGGTTTAAAATGAAAAAAATTATTCAAAATTAAAAAAATCATTTATATAAATAATTTTAACTAAAATTTATATTATTCATATATAAAATTATAATAAAATATTTATTTTTATTTTGAAAGAACTCTTACTACAGTGACATGCTGTCTCAAAATCCTTGGAGTGTGTCTTCCTTACTTATGGTGTTCTCATTGCATTATGCATATTTATTATTAGAGTAAAAAGTAAGATATTTAATTTTCATATTTTTTTTATAATATAGTAATTTAAAATAATACATTTTTTATCTATTAAATTATAAAAAATAATAATAGAATTGATGTATGCATATGTCTCGCAATATGCAGGTCATAATTTAACAGTCATTGAAGGGGATGGTCCCCCAAGCTCGGCAGGTTGCCTACGAAATGATTCTGCCTCATCAGTAAGACCTAAAACCATGCAATGCAAAGGATCAAATTTCAACTTTTCTACATTCAATTATTTAGTTTGGATCAGAGATGAAAGAAAAATAAAGATAAATGAAATGGAAATTATAAACAAAGGTGATAAATAGAATAGAAAAAGTGTTGTTTGGATGCACTTATTTAGTAAGAAGAAAATGAGAAAAAATGTCTTTGGTTATTTGGATGAATAGGAAACCCGAATTTACTTTGTCTTTTTGTTTATTCTTTAATTCTTATGAAAAAACTTGTTCAAATTGGCTCTCAATTTCTTTTTTAAGAATTCATCAATTTGTTTAACGATGAGTTAAATTTTAATATTTTTAAAATTCAGATACTACATGCGTGAGCATAAAAACATACATAAATTTGACTAAAATGTATAAGAAGATTGCAAAGAAATAATATTTTCTGTAATATTATATCTCTAGAACATTCTGCTACTAAATTGCTCTACTTTATTTATACAGGAAGTAATAAATATGTTTTCAATGTTTTTTTCAGAGAAAATAGCATAATCAACTATTTATGTAACTCTTAACATTCGGAAATAGTCAGGTTATTTTTGTTTGAATAATAATATATAAATAATTAAAAACAAAAATAATTATGTGGCAGCTTTTATTATATTTTTTATTATCTGTTAAAAAATATAATATATATTTATGTTATATATTTTTTTCTGTTTCTTATTTTTTTAATATTTATAATCTATAACAATATACAGATAGATTATTTTGTAATTGACAGATAAAAAAATATAATATATATTTATGTTGTATTTTTTAATTATATATTTTTTAAATATAAAATAATAAATAAAAATAATAAAAATATATATTTTTTTAGTTTTTTTTTCAAAATCTTGTTTCATATTTATTTATCTTAAATAATTTATAATTTAATGTTTTAGAATTAATTCATACATTCAATTTTAAAAAAATTAAAATAAAAATATAATAAAAATACACACGTAAGTGTTCCCGTTAATAACAATAACAAACATATTTATATTATATTCAAGAAATATTTATTGATGGTTTATTTAAAATGAGTTGTGAAAATATTGTTTTTATTTTTATTTATAAGTTAAAAAAAAAGTTGCCTCGAACACAGAGATCGAAAATCAGAAAAGAAGACATGAATTCCGGCGGTCAACAGGAAGGCCCCACGAGCAGAAGTGGCGCGCAACACTTTGCCCTTTCCACAAATTTCTTTTGTTTGAATCAAATGGTCCCAAAACACAATTCATGCAAACTTCGGGGTCGTAATGCAATTGTTACATAAATAGACTAGATAAAATGATTGCAACGGAAAATATAAACTTTAGCTGTTAATCCATCTATATTTAAACAAATTTTTTGTTCTCGTCTATTTATTTAATGTTTCACTTAATTTTAGGGGAAAAACACACATTATGACGGAAAAATGTGTTGAGGTAATATAATTTTGTGCAACACTAATAAAAAGGTAAAATAGTTTAAATGGATACGAGTTAGGATTTGTTTGATTCTGGTATCGTAATGCGTTGTATGAGAAGATGGATGAGATTGATAGGGTGGAATTAAAGTGTTTGTTACCAACAGAAATAAGAGGCTGAAATTTGTGGACCTGGTGTCATGCAAAATCAGAAACGCATCCATTTCCTTTCATTCACATGGCTGGTTAAGTAGAAGCACATTATTGTGACCTAAAATGAATTAATGAACCATTTTTTATAAAAAATATCTAAGAACCATTATCAGGGTGGGGAAGTGTAGTAAAATAAAGATGTTGGAGGGCCTGTGGAGAGAATTGTGAAAAGAGTAGTATTTTTGTCTTCTGTGACAGTGCTGCACGTGACCCTCTTTTCTTTCAAACCCAAAATGGAAGAAGAAAGAATAGAAGATAGTTGTAGTAGTGATTCAACACTCACTGGCCCCCCACTTTACCCAAATCCAGATCCCATCTGCAAAAACAAAATCACTCCCATTCATTCATGACTCCGCCCACTCCTCATCCATGTCTTCCTCCACCTTCATCATTCTCTTCTTCCTCTCCCTCTTCACACCCTCCAACACTCAAACATGCTGTTCTAACTCAAACTCTCATCCCTGCCCTCCCTTCTCCTCTAACCCCCCTTTCCCTTTCTCCTCCACCCCTGGCTGTGGCCACCCCTCCTTCCACCTAACCTGCTCCTCCCCCCATTCTTTCATCTCCATCAACAACCTCTCCTTCTCCGTCCTCTCCTACAACCCCAACACCTCCTCCTTAACCCTCTCCCCTCACCCTCACCTCATCCCCCACCCCAACTGCCCCTCCTACCCCTCCATCCCCGATCGCCCCATCAATCTCTCCGCCACCCCCTTCCGCGTCTCCGCCGCAACCTGCTCCCGCCTCTCCTTCCTCCGCCCCTGCTCCCCCCCTTCCCTCCCCAACTGCTCCCATTGCTCCTCACAATGCCACCTCGTCAAATCCCCCTCCCACCTCCTCCCTGACTGCAGATCCACCCACCACTCGCCTCAGTACTCCGACCCCCCCTGCCAGACCGACATCCTCGGCTACCTCGAACAGTTCCTCCAAACCGGAATCCAACTCGACTGGGACCAAACCGGTGACCCCTACTTCACCAACTGCACTCTCTGCCGCGCCAACAACGGCCTCTGCGGCTTCAACTCCTCCTCCCAAAACAATCCCTTCGTCTGCCTCCGCTCCCAATCCACACTCTCCCCCCCATGGATTCGCAGATTCAAACCCAGCAAAATGGCCCTTTTCAGCACCGTCATCGCCTTCACCTCCCTGCTTCTCCTAATCTCAGTCGCCACCGCCATCCTCCGCTCCACCAGGTCAAAAGCCTCCTCCGCCACGCAGCAAGACCCCACCACGCTCTTCCTCCACCACCATCGCTCGGCAAGCCTCCTTCCCCCTGTCTTCGCCTACGACGACCTCGCCGCCGCCACCCACAACTTCGATCCTAAGCGGAAAATAGGAGACGGCGGGTTTGGCTCCGTCTACCTCGCGCAGCTCCGCGACGGGCGCCTCGCGGCGGTTAAGTATCTCCACTGCCACCACGCCTCCGCCGCGTTCTCCACCAAGTCATTCTGCAACGAGATCCTCATCCTCTCCTCGATCCACCACGCGAACCTGGTGAAGCTCCACGGGTACTGCAGCGACCCGAGGGGGCTTCTCCTCGTCTACGATTACATCCCCAACGGAACACTAGCGGAGCATTTGCACAGCCGCAAAGGATCGCTGGCGTGGCAGGTGAGGCTCGACATCGCATTACAAACGGCGTTAGCGATGGAGTATCTTCACTTCTCGGTTGTTCCGCCGGTTGTTCACAGAGATATAACGTCGTCGAATATTTTCGTGGAGAGGGACATGAGGATCAAGGTGGGGGATTTCGGCTTGTCGCGGCTTTTGGTGGTGCAGGATACGACGTCGTCTTCAAACGGGTTTGTTTGGACCGGGCCGCAAGGAACACCCGGGTATCTGGACCCAGATTACCACCGGTCATTCCGGTTGACGGAGAAGAGTGACGTGTACAGTTTCGGAGTTGTGTTGTTGGAGCTTATCTCGGGTATGAAAGCAGTGGACCAGAATAGAGACAAGCGCGAAATGGCGCTTGCGGATTTGGTTGTTTCCAGGATCCAGATGGGGCAGCTCCACCAAGTACTTGACCCGGTTTTTAAACGCTGCGACGGCAACGGAGTTGCCGCCGTAGCAGAGCTGGCGTTCCGTTGCGTGGCGGCGGATAAGGACGACCGGCCTGATTCAAGGGAGGTGGTAGAAGAGCTGCGGCGGGTGCGGAGTCGAACGTTGGCGGCGAAGGAGTGAAAGAAAGAGGGTGTCTTTATCATGGGGCCGTGTGCGCATGTGGAGTTTGACTGTGGAGGTGCACTTGTGTCGGACGGTACCGTTGACTTGACCCCACCGAAGCCATGATGAGTTCGTTTTTTCTAAATTAAGTTGTTATTATGATGAGGTTAATACTTGTTATGCCACCACGTTGGAAATGAACGCACGAGGGTTTTTATTTTTATTCAATTCTGTGTGTGGTTACGTAATGTGATGGGGAAAATGTCAGTGATCCCGTACCGATTCGGGTGTGGTAACCTACCCAAATTCAGCTCAATAGCCAAGAGAGTGTATGTAGCGTGTACCACTCACCTCTTTTCTTCTACCTCATATCATATCTCTCGGTAAATATACCATATCTTGTGTAACTCTCATTTTTCCCATTTTCAATTTCAGCATAATAACTTTCCCATCTTTTTTTGGTTTCCTATTTCTAAAAATATTTGTTAGGAAATAATCAACTACGGTGGAATAAAGTGAAGGTGAGAGAGAGGAATATTGGGTTTGGCGTGGATTTTTTCAAAGGGGTTGCTGTTTGGAATGCTTTCACGAGGAGTGGAGTGGTGTGGAGGTTCTATATTGGTAAGGTGGTTAAAAAGTCTTCTAAGAAGCTTTTTGACGACGACGTCAACTTAAAAAATGACTACTCCTCACGCATCATCTTCTTTTCCGTGATTAGCGTTTCGATAATAACAGGTGATAACACGGCCATGACCCACTTTTTGTTTTTCTTACAACCTTAATCAATGCGAAATTGCTTATTCGCCACATCGGGAGTCTGAACCAAACGAAACCTGTTTTGGTTAAAGTGTGGAATTTCCAACGCAATGTCTCTCAAATCTTATAGGTCATCTTCCGGTAAAAGTTAGAACTTCCGAACGTGTTTCAAGAACTTTGCAGACATTTGCGAATTCTAAGGCAAAATTAAGATTACTGTTTTGAGAATCAAATACAGTAGTATTTTGAGTTTCTTAATTTGCGTCCAAACATACACCTAGTTACGGTAACAAAGGAAGCGTATATTTTTCATGTATTGTATTACACTATATTTTGTATGCTATTTTATCCAATGAAGTATTGGATTTTGCAATGGACATACAATACATGATTTATTCTATGATTATCCCTTAATTAAAGTATCGATTCTCCAAAGTCGTGGCCTTCTCGTTCGCAAATTTTTCTTCTGGCTTGTTAGCTAATTTGTATCCCCTCTCCTAAAAAAAACATCATTAAAATGCTCAAAGGTTAAAATGCCCTAAAATAAAAACCATAACTAGGATGCTTAAAGATAAAGCAGCACGTACCAGAAGACGCCACAAATAGGGGACCCCATCTCTCTTCTTGATTTGCTTCTCCAACACTTCGATTGCTGTGATTAATTCATCATAATAGTTAAGAGATGATTCGTAGGTTTGAACGTTAGAGAAAAGTTCGAGACTTTACCCTTCAACGCTTTTCCAGTATTCAGCAACATGTTATACCAAACTTCATTGAATACATCCACTTGTTCATCAGATGCCCCAATGATCTTCACAACAATGTAATTGATGTTTTGTTAAGTTCCAAAATCAACAAAAGTGAAGCTATAGTACAGAAAAGTGGTTTTATTAGTCCAACCTTATAATTAATAGCATCAAAATCTGGATCAAGTAATTCCAGTCCATGTTTGTCGTCTCCAATTCCGTACGCATAAAGTGCTTCTGCAAGCTAAGTTAATACAAGAGAAATGGAGGTCAGAATTTCAATTAAGAAAGAGAAAAATACTCCAATGTCCAACCTAGTATCTAGCCATCTATGCAATATCCCTACTTCCAAGTGTGACTTTCTTAAATGATAAATTTCCTTTCCTGAAACTTCCAGGTTAAGGCTATGTGCGACAAAACTAATTGTTTGTGTTAAAATTACTGCAACAAAGCATGGTTATCACGTTCCGCCACAGAATAAAGAATTTGAGCTATGAACTAGACATACTATCTAAAGAGCTTTTTTAATATTCAGCAGCTACTGAAGCATACCATAATTCCTCGTTTCATTCTTTGTTGCTTCTTTTTAGTCATCCTCAAAAACCTACAGTAAGATAACATGAATATATCACAATTCATGCAACGTCGTATCTCATTAACTTTACGCAAAATATAACACTTCCACCTGTTTTTTAAGCCCTTTAGAAGATCTTCTGCTTTAGAAATTTCTCCAGTCTTTGCCAAAGTCCACACTATCAAAACATCAAAGTGCCACTCTATATACCAGTTTGCCTGAAAATTGAATATACATCCATGAAATGCACAGGAAAAGTAAGAGTGAATAATATCCTTGAACTGCACAAATGAGAAAGTTCCCAATGAGCAAGTCCTCAAAATCTGTATCAAAATCATCACTAAAAAACATAGGAAGTACTACATTTAAAAACAAAAAGTTCATTTGAACTCATGTTTTATATTTAAAGTACATTTTATCTTGAAAATAATAAATTTCCGGGCTTAAAAATAATTTGATGACGTTATACATACACTCTTCTACTTGGTATTTTGCATTCCATTTTCACTTTTCTCTTATATTTTCTTTTTCGTTTAAATAGTGAGTTGGAAGTGTCACCAGATTAATGTCGAACATGGTGTAAGTTTTTAGTACATGGAAAGAAAATACAGTTAATCAACCTAACAAAAGTGTACCAGAATACAAAACTCAGATCAATATTTCCACTTGGAATCTGAAGTGTCATACAATATTACCATTTCCTTGGTACCATATAACATGTAGGGTGTATCTTAACTTACTTGATTAGTTAGGCATTCCGCAAGCAACTTGAGACGATCGCCATAGATATCCAATTCACGACGTACATACAACCGCAAAAGCAGACCCGCAGCATTTAAGTAAACCTGTACTCAGAGATTAGAACTTATGACCAAAGGAAGAAAGCCATAAACTACTGGTAAAGACAAAGCCTATGAAATCACATACCTCTGCCTTCATAGAATCATGTTTGTCTAGCTCCTTCCATATATAATAGTCATATATCTCTAGTACTCTTTGTGTCGGAGCATTACCCTCTAAGTAACAAAGGGCCGCATGCCACCAATTGTGTGTCAACCTGAAAGAATGAAATTTCTTTACTTGATCAATAGAAAATTACACAAAGCCATGTTTAAGCGAATAAAATTCTTACATGAAAGACGAAGCAGAACACCATGATGGTGAACATTCTTCCAAGAACTTAACAGCTTCTCTAAAGCGACACTTGTACTGAAGCACATGGCATAGCTGCAGAACAAAATTCAATAATTACACTAATTTAGATCAAAAAGTATAATTCATGGACATTTCTTGTTACAACATATTTCTCAATTGTTCATAAACTGTGACGTCATTATGCCTAAACTAAAGCTTGAAATAATTCCCTTATCAATGGTTGGTTGATTGATTTTTCTCCAACCATCACCTTTCTTTTTGCTTAAATAGCAGGAGTACAAGCTTAAGTTTGTATTGCAATGTAAGCAAAGAGATCAAGTGGAGGTTTATTCAAAATCTTAATTGTTCAGTAAAAAAATTGAAATATAGTAATAGTACATCTACTCTAAGGTAGAGTGAATATTCCCATATTTAACAGTTACATTGACCTACAGCATGCTGTGACCAGATGTCTTGCTTATTGATCTCAAATCCCCTTCTGGCAGCTTTATCAGCATCCTCCATCCGCCCCAGTTCCAACAGAGGGAACGCAAGCATGCCATATATGTAGTTTTGTCCTTCATTTTGAGGTAGAACCTGTAAAACTTAAAAGGATAAGGTACTCACTTTTCATCAATAATAATAAGGAAGCAAGAAGAAGCAAACTACTTAAACTGTCCTTTGATTGACTAATATACAGATCAGGGCAGGATAAGAATGCACTCTAACTAAGAAAATAATATTATGTTCCTTACTCTGGTATTTGGTGCTATTTTAAAATTTACACAATAAAATTACGTTACAATAACAGGTAAAAGATAACAAAACTAATTTTTAATGTAAAAGATGTCAATTCAATAGACAACTTTGGGTTAAGAATTAGGTTGATTATATTTTCCCATGGCTAAGAAGAAACCAAATTTACGCTATGAAAGGCTTCTAACTCCGATCTTAACTTCTCTAGGCAACCCAAACAAAGTAAGCAAAAATAATGGAAGTAAATTCTGAGTAATACTAAACTTTTCTACAATCTAATTTAGTGGGCTTCTGATGTATTAACCTTTTACTCCTCCAGTATATAAGTAAAGGAAAAATTCATGATCTATTATATTTACATCTTGCAGCTTCTTTTAGACAATATGCATGATACAAATATTATACTAATAAAAGAGTACCCCTTATTTGCAAAGAAAAAATTTATTTCCACAAATCAGCTATAGCAGAAATGAAACAGAAATGTTTTCTAGCTAGAAAGAACCTGTTGAATAAGAGATAAAGAAAGAGCTGGTAGACCCATGTAGAAGCATAACACTTGTGCTCTCTTTAGAGAAACCAGATCTCTTGGGAACTCTTTTAGAAGCTTCAAAACAAAAACAGGTTACATTCATCAAGAGTGTTTGAAATAGCAAATCAGATGAATCCCGAAGCATTGTGAAGGCAGATACAACTGGAAAACATTTCTGGAGTCTGAAGTAAACTACCTTCTTCAGATAGAAGTTTCAAGGTAACAATTTGCAAAAGATAATCTAATCTTGATCAAATTCAGTTTCTACACATCTAAATAACAAAGGATCAAAGTGTCGTGTTGAAACATCAATTTTTTAAAGACAACATTTAATTTGTATTCCCTTAACTGAGTGCCTTCTGGGATATACTTTTCGTTCAGGGTTCATTCCTGTGCTCTAGTATACAAGTCATGCCGCTGATACCAAAATATTCATCATCTGTCGCCACTAAATATGTAACTTGTAAGGACTCACAAATGCATATTTACTTCTGCATCTACATCCTATCGGCATAAAACTCAATAACTAACTCGAGTGATAGAGTATCTTCATAAGCACATCAGCTGTTTCAGACTGATGGACAGACATTGCCAAACAAATGTAAGGCGGTCTCACACTACCTCCTCAGGTACAGGTAGGAATATCATCCTATAGTAATGCTTATCAAATAATTTTCTACAAAACTTTACATTCAGCAATTTAGGAATCAATCTGAAGTTAACAAGAATCGAATTTTATACACAGGATGAAAATCTCTGAGATCCATTTTAAAATATAAACAAGCAGCAGAGCAATGAACAAAGTGAAATCATATTCTTGAATATAGAGTAAATATTTGTACTTATTTTGGTCCTCCTGGAAGACATCAGTTAATCATCCAAAAACACATAAATACACTAAAAATCAATGACAACTTGGGCATCAAGTAGGTTTTCCACTTTTATCATTTTACATCAAATTGGTCCTCAAACTGATGAGACTTGCATATCACTAAAATGGACCCACTTAGTCACTCACCTTAGAATGCAATTCAAGAGCTACATCATCGTCTCTATCTTCGGATAGCAAATAACTGATGGCATCGAAAACAAGTTTCTCGTACAAAGTGGCATGATCCTGCAACAGCATAATTCTTATCATGCATCAAAGGGGTTTTCTTTTTAGTGGATAGAGTCAAAGATAAAAAAAAGAAGAAAAAGCAAATGAGAGGATACAAGGTGGGATTTAGCGGCATCCAGACAAGTGTGAGCACGAGAAGAATCAGCCGAAAAAAGGAAATGTGCCGCCAAGATGTTGGCCAAGACACAGTGATTGTCATGTGCCACTGCTTCCAAAATCACAGACCTTTCTCTACCATATATCAGAACCTTCATTGTAAAGAGACGCACCCCATTTGAGTTTTGACATCAAAGAGTTTCAACAAAGACAAAAGAATCAAAATCAAAATATATATATATATATATATATATATATATATATAAAAAAAAAAGTCAGAGAGAGAGAGAGACAGAAGGCGGTGATGTGATATGCGATACCTGATGGTAGTAGGAGTTGATGGCTGAAACGCAAGCCTGCGAAGAAGTTGCGACCTGGTATCCCCACACGTCCAATTTCACACTTTCTTCCATTGTTCTTCACTTCTTTCCTTCTCTCTTTCTAATTTCTCAAGTCAATGCCATTGGTTAAGGTTTTTCCGTGTAGTTAGGTAAAATATAAACAAGAGCAACCTGAGAAACCGACACAACTACACATTAGATCTTATCTAACTAGTAACAAGAACAACGTATTATTAACCAACATGTGTTATTCCTAGGTTGTCTTATTTATCTTTTAATTTTGTTCCCATATGTTAATGTTGAGAAGAGTTAAAACAAGTAGCTTATTTGAGATGATTATTAACGTAATTTTATTCCTTAACATTAACATATTTAGAGTATTATTATTATTATTATTATTAAAGTTTTTTTTATAATATCAAAATATACTTAGTCTAGGTCGGTTAAAAAACTCTAATAAATCAATGACATTAGACAAAAAAAAATATTGTCCATTAATTTCACCTGTGTAGGCTATAAACAAGTTTAAATTAGATGAGTTCGTATGTTTGTGAACCAGTTAGAATTTTTTAAAATATAAATAAAAATAATATTGTTTTATTAATATATATATATATATATATATATAATAGTAAATATTTAAGCTTTTAATAACGAATTAATTTAAGATTTAATAATTAAACTTAATTATTATTTTATATCAATAAATTATAATAATAAATAAAAAATTTTAATTTTATATTAAATAAATTCATTATCTTATAATTTATATATTAAATCATTATATAAAATAAAAACTAATTTTATTAATATAATTTTAATTTTAAAAATATTTTTTATAAAGTTGTGTTAATATTTTTTTTTCAATAAAATAAAATTAACTCATTAGTTGTTGGCCTAAAACAAATTAAGTTGAAATTATGATCAATTTTAAAATATAAAATAGATTAAATTATTAATTAATTTTTACTCGTAAAATTAGATCTGAACCGAATCGCTTCTGATATTTTTTTCACGGTAATTTTTTATTAGTAATTATAAATATACTTCCCATATTTATCAATAGAATTACATTTGAATTTTTTAACACTAAAATAATCTCTTTGATTATCTTAATTTCATTAAAAATATATTTTTATTAGTAACATAAGTAGTTGATTTTTTTTATGATTGCATTTAATTTTTTCTTAACTTCATAAATGTTTTTATTAAATATGTTTAATTTTAAAAAAATATAATTGAATAAATCTTTAATAAGATATTAAGAAATAAAATAAAATGTTGATTTTTTATTATGTTTATAAAACAATTATTTGATATATTATTTTGTTTTAAATTGATTTTATTACATGTGTGGTGTATGATTTTTGACACGTTCCCACAAAAATTATATCAAAATATAAAAGTAAATTAATTAAGGATATATATGTGTAAATATTTTATAAGAATATCGTTTGGATTTAAAATTGTACTTATCATACTATTTTTCATAAGTGAATATGTTTAATATAGATATATAATTGAAACACATCTTTTAATGGAATAAGATAAATTTTTATAACTTACTAAACTTATTTGTTTTTCATATCATAAGATAAGTGAGAGGACATTTAACTCTCATCATTTGATATTTTTCTTTCTACAAATTCAATATTTAGAAAGTCAAGATATCTTCTTCAACAAAGTATTTATTCTTTAGAAATTACTATGTTAATTTGCATCAATATATCATAAACATAACATACATATGTAGATATCTTATTGTATTTCTTGTATTATAACAAAATAATTTTTTATTTGATCTCTACCTATTATTTTGTGAACAATTCTTGTTTTATTGGATTCTTATTTTTAGAATTTCAATTTATATATATAAAATATTTAATTTGGAGTTCAAATTATTTTTTATAATTTTAAAAGTTTAAATTAAAAATATGTCATTCTACTTATTAAAAAATTTTAATTACATGGAAGAAAGTTTTATAGAAAATCACATTAAAAATTTTCTCTCTTAAACAAGATTACTTTTAGCTTAAGAAAAATTCACTTTATTAAATGAAAATATACTATAAAAAACTTTATATCCATCCTTTTACATATCATTATTTTAAATAAACTCATTTAATTATAATATAAGATACAATATCAACAATAAATTATAAAAGTAAATCTCTACATCGATTTCTTAATCGATATAGACACCACTGATATAAAAAAATTATATATAATATTAATTTTATATAGAACCAATATAAAATATTTTCCAATTAAAAAAATGTGAAAAAAAGGAAGGATATTATCTTAGTTATTACTAAAACCAATATAGCACAGACATACACATCGATTATGATATGATATAACATCGGTTGCTAGGCCAGTGGTAAATTTGCCGAATTAATATTTTATAATTAGTTGCAACATACATTTATATAAAAGATTGTAGTAATGTTTTACGGTTTTATTAAACAATGTTGAAGTTTGAGGTTATTATATATGACACTGTTATCATAAATGAAAAAATGTATATATTAATTAAATTTGATTTCAGTACTTGAATTTGGTTTAACTATTATCTAATTTTTTTAATAAAAAAAAATTTAAGTTTGTGAAAATATTTAAAATCGTATATGAAAAGGAAATAAGATGTGGTTGCAAAAGATAAAAAGATAAAAATAATATATTTTTCTTTTTATAGTTTAATTACTGTACCTTATTAATGTAATTTTTTAATATTCACCAAAAAATAATAAAAGTCATCACTGAATTGTGTTTTAATATAACTATTAGAAAAACAAGGAAATTTAGTACAGATGACAAACTAATATTTGATTATAATGCAATTTTTTTTATACTGTTAGTGTATTTTAATGAAATTAATTTATTAAGTGAATAAACTAATTCAATAAAATTGAATTTGATGGGCGTAAATATTAATTAAAATTTGAATGAAACGTGGCATCAGCGCATGAACCGAAAGTGGTCCTTGGATCCAGAAAATATTATGACCATCAAAACTTTTTTCTCAACGTGAAAATCCTCACCTTTAGGATAAAAATAATTTTACGAAAAATAGTTGAAAAACTACTTTTATTATGAGATTATTAATAAATTAAACATAGAACTGGATATTATCAATTTTATATTCTTGTGATTGATCTTGCCACTGTATATATCCAATACTCACCCTTCTTAAAAGTTTTAAAGTAGTTGTTAATTTTAAATTTATAAAAGAAAAATCAATTTATTAAATTTAATTTAAAAGTATTTATAATATATGCTTTTCGACAAATAATCTAATTGTAAACTACGATACAATTAGAAATTGTTGATTTTTGCAACTAGTTGATGATATAAAAAGAATTGCTTGTATCAAAAGCTATATTTTGTTTTCAGTATGAAAAAATCCATTAAAATGAATGAGATTTGTTATGTGTGGATGGACAGGTTCCGGATGGTGCAAGTAATCTCGCGTGATTGGTTCTCTCCATCTTTAGTCAGCATCATTTGAATTTTACAAAAAGAACCTTCAATTCAAAACTATTTTGAATTTTATTCAATCTGTCATTTTATTTCAAGCATTAATCACAAGTTGATTTCATGACTGAAACTTCAGACGTTACACATCAAAAGCACAACAAATTGCAAATGGATTTCACTCTATTTTCAATCTAAAAACAACTTGCAAATGAGCAATGATGCAACAAACATATAGTAAAAACAAACTAGGACAACTGTTTTGAAATTCATCCCTCAGATAACTTTGGTTCCATTTACTTTGCAGCTAGCTTCAGCTTTAAAACCTTGGCAAATTCAATAAGCTTGTCGGTTTCTGGTAGAAGGCCATTCACAGCAGGATCAGCAGCAAATGTTTCAGCCCATTTGACCAAACTTGGGTGCTTGGTTTCATCAAGCAACTTTCTTCCATTCATCTCCTCTATCACTCTCATCCAGCTCAAAAAGCTACCAAAACCAATATCAATGAATCCAATCCTGTCTCCTCCAAAAAAGGCCTTCCCTTCACTGCCCTTGCTTAACACTTCTTCCAACCTCTCAAGTACTTCCTCTGCTTGCTCATAGTGTGGCTTTTTTGCCTCATCATCATCAGCTACTAGAACACTTTTCAAGGACGTAAACCACTACTCCCACAACATAAAACACACCATAAATAAAATTGACAGACAACTTAATTAGTTACTTATTTAATAAAACAGTAATTGACGTATGTAACAAGAGTGTAAAGAATTCAGTACTGTCATTCAATCACAAATATATTAAGAATATGGCTTTTATGATAATTCTCTAATTTATTGATGATAAAAAATCTCTTTACAGCATTTGTGTATGAAAATTAAAGTGTAGAAGAGTCACAGGTAACTAGGAGAAATACCTGCATTGTTGGAGTAAGTTTTATAGAAATTGTTTATATGAACCAGAATGACAAAAACCAAAAGATTACCTTCTCATCAGTGTAAGCAACCCAAAATCGGGCATTAGCTCGATCATAGGCATTTTGTGGAAGGATGGAGGGGGCATTGGACCAAACCTCATCGATGTATTCAACTATGATTGCAGATTCACATATGGCTTTATCTGCATGGAGGAGAACTGGGATTTTCTTGTGCACAGGGTTGGACTTAAGAAGAAGGTCACTTTTGGGATTCAAGGTCTCTTCAATAACCTCATACTCTACACCCTTGAGGTTAAGGGCAATCTGAACCCTTAGGGCAAAAGGGCTAAACCAACCACCCAAAAGCTTCAAGTCGTTTTTAGCCATCACTATGAGAGGTTTACCACAATATGCAGTGTAATGTGGTTGTTTTGTTGAGTTATTTGCTAGAGAATAAGTTGTTTATGTATGGGAAGAAAGAAAGGTGAGAGATAACAGATTTGTGGTGAGATATGCAGCTACTATCAAACGACAATCAATTCAAAAGTTGGGCGGTAGACACAAATGCGTTTGGTACACAAAATTCAATCAATAATTTGAGGCCAGCTCATTTGTCTGATAATTATACCATATTTGATAATGATGCTTCGTTTTAACTTGACTTCCGTATTTTAAACATGCTTATACAGTGATTAAAGATATCATATATATATATATATATATATATATATATATATATATATATGTATATATATACATATATATCTGAATATAAAGTTTTTATTTATTTATTTATTTTATTATAAATAAAACATGTATAATTAATTAGTTTGTCAAGAGTTAGGTAATAGTATTATTATTTTTATTTTTTATAATTTACTTATATAATGAAAATTATATCAAGATCTTTTTTATTGATTTATTTCATTTTAATAATAAAAATATATTTATTTTTATGAATATCATGATCTTTTATATACAAATTCATTAAGATGATACCATAATTCTCATCTTCAATAAGGAATCACAGTAGTTCATTTAAAAAACAAATATTTATCTACGGATGACAAAAATTTTCATTCATGCAAGTAAAATCTTTCACTAATATTAAGATATATTAAATGATATTCGTGAGTAATGAATATGAAGTATTTTAATTACCGTTTATTAATGGAAAGTATATAAATATTATGATATCCAACACGTTGGTATTTGCCATTTGCTAACAAGTTTTATTTTAAATAAAATTATCAAAATAAAATTATTGATGAGAAAAATATTAATTATTAAAGAATTATTTAAATTTCAAATTTACATATTTTTTTAATATAAATTTATGAAGTTAAAGTATTTTTTTAAATTATTTTTGTAATACAATTTATTAGAATTAATATTTTATAAATATTAAATTTATTTATATTAATATTTTATAATTTAATTTAAATTATATTTTTAATAAATATTATTAAAATATATATTTTAAAAAAAATATTTATATTTAAAACAAAAGTAAAAATATAAAATACTCACGTATATAAAAATATCAGTGAATATTTTTTAAATAAATAAGCGGATAAGAAACAAGTTTTTATTTTTTTGGCGGACAAATACTGAGTAGATATTATCTGTGCCCGACTTCAACGTCAGTGGGTGACAAAAATTATTATAGTGCATGCAAAATGAAATTGGCATTATAATACAAAAATAAGATTAAGTTTATGGATGGAAGTTCACTTCAACATTGAGAGGATCCATTAAATCATGAAAATGATATAATTGATTATGACATCGGAATTTAATCATATATTAAAAAACTTAAATAATAAATATATAAAATTTAAAATAATTTTTATATACAAGTGAATACTTTAAATTTTTAATAGAATATTATTTTAACTATTTAATTTAGTAATCATAATATTTTAGAATAATTTATATAATATAAGATGAATTAATTTTCAACATAGTAAAATATTACTTATTGTTTATTAATTTTTAATTCTGTTAATAATATTAGATCTTTATTTTGTTTGAAGTCAGCTTATTCAATAATTTTAATTAACTCTTCATTATTTTTTCTCGTTTATCATGTATATATATGGATTAATATTATATTGTAATAAATAATTTTTTATTTGTGCAATTACACTACTCTCTTATATTATGTTTTTTTCCCTTATTTCTTATTTATAGATGTATTTAGGAGTGTTTATGGTGTTGTTTTTCCACTCATTCTCTCTCATATTCTTTATCTAATGGTATCAAAGCTTTTATTTTTGTTGCATGTCTCTAATAATTTGTTTTTTATTTTCATTGTGTTTATTTTCTTGCTTCTTTTCTCATCGTCAAAGAAAATTGCTTACATAACAATGAACGTTCTTTTCATAATCCCTCCATGCACAGTCTCTTCATCTTCTTCTTAATAAAAACTCTGTCATATATCTTTAGTTGCACTTATTCTCGACTTTAACAATTATCATTCATGGAGTCGATCCATGATCATTGTCTTAAACATTGAAAACAAACTTGAGTTTGTTGATGATTTGGTTAAATTACTTTACAAAGATGATGTCATGTATCAAGCATGAGAACAATGTAATAATATGGTCGTTTGGATTGTGCACTATGTTGTGCTTCATATTAGAAGAAACATTCTTGAGATAGATAGAAAGAAATATGAAATAAACAAATACTTTCAAGGAGATATTTTAAGAAATTTGAAATTTCAAGTTAGTGTAATCTCTTTAAAATAAGGTGACATGACTGCCACATAATATTTTACCCAACTGAGGGTCATTGGTACGAACTTGAGAATTTTTATCTAACCTAAGTTGTTCTTCAACACTAAGTGTAATTATGGTTTCGTCTCTTTAATTACGGAAAGAAAGCACAAAGATCATGCTACGTAATTTTTAGGAGATTAAGTGATCAATATAGTAATGTAAGATTACATGTTCTTTTGATGAACTTTGTTCTACTGATCAATAAAAAAATTTCCTATGTTATTGAACAAGATAGGTAAATGAAAATGTTTTTTATTGGCCATGTTGAGACAAGAATCAATACCACCATTGTTAGTTGTAATCATTGTGGGAAACTCGATCATATCGAGAATATAATGCTATAAGAAGTATGATTTTCCTTCAAACCAAAAAAACAAAAACTTGAAGAATGACTTGAGTAGAAAAGTTTGTACTCATTGTGGGAGAATCAGGCACACCATTAATTGTTGTTACAAAAAGAATGAGTTCCTTCTTGATCATCAACTATATAATAGGCATTGTCAATGCAGTTAATTATAAAGAAGATACGGAGACTCATAATCACAAGATACACATCTTTCTTAATAACAATATCAAATTTTAATGTCTATCATTAAAAAGCATGATGAAGGTAAGAACTCCTCACAAATCAATAAGGTAAGATCCATTACATCATGTATCACTCACGCGGATAACGGCATAGGCAAGCTTCACTCATTCTTAACTCTTTAAATTTGGAAAATAATTCATCTTAAATTCTTGATTATAGTGTAATGATGACGTGATTTCTTCTATTTCTTAAATTCACACGTGTTGGCATAGTCAAATTTAGTGATGTAATCATTTTTAAAGATGTTTTTTTCATTCCTTTTTTTTTTCTTATAATTTGATTTTTATCTCTAAGCTAGTTTATTCCCTCAATGTTGAATTAATTTTTTACTCTAACTCTTGTTTGATTCAGGACATGATAATAAAAGAGATGATTGATTTAGTTTATGCTAATAAAGGTCTTTATGATCTTAATAATTCTAGTCGATATATTAATACATGTAATCTTGATGAAAATAATTTCTAACATGCAAGACTCAGTTGTCTTTCTTATAATATGTTAGCTATTTTAGGACAACAGTTCTCCTATATACAAAGTAGTCAAAACAATGGTTGCAATGCTTGACACTTAACTAAACAATGTAAGATTACTTTTCCTATTAATCGATCTAATACTTGCAATGCTTTTAATCTCATACATATTGATATATGGGACCCTTACTCGGTTGTTTTTTTATATGGATATAAGTACTTTCTTATTATAGTTGCTGATTATACTAGTTTTATATGAGTTTATCTTATGCATAACAAATCTGAAACTCATACAATCTTACCAATTTTATTAATCTCATTATCACTCAATTTGAAAAAGACATTAAAATCAAAAGATTTGATAATGATATTGAATTTCACTACTACAAAATATATTTTCTACGTCGTCATTTAACGTCGGTTATAGCTGAGACGACGTAGAAAGTACTTTCCACGTCGGTTCCAGATGAACCGACATTGAAAGTTGAATATTAAACACATTCTACGTCGGTTCTTAGTCAACCGACGTAGAAAGTACTTTTTACGTCGGTTCCCATATGAACCGACGTTGAAAGTCTTTTTTTTTTCACCCAAAAATTCAATTAAATTTGAAAATTGCCACTGCCAGGATTCAAACTCAGGATTTTAGAATTGGAAACTAATACTCTAACCACTAAACTATTATAATTTCCCGATAATAACTTACAAATAAATTATATTTATATACAAATAAATATATATCCATGTAAATATATATTTATTTGTATATATTTTCTGGAAAGTATTTTTATTTTTTTTTCAGCCAAAAATTCACTTAAGTTAATGAATTGTCATCGACAGACATTTGAACCCAGTATTTTAGGGTTGTAAGTTAATATCCCAACCACTAAACTACTACAATTTTTTGATAATAACTTATAAATAAATTATATTGGTATTTTTTGACCGAAGGTGAAAGTGTGATTGACTCTCGCTTGAGTGAAAATATGTTAAAGCTCACGGAAATTCACTCACTCAAGTCTCGCTTGAGCGAAAATTGGTATTTTTCGCTTGAGAGCGAATAACGCGTTTCCCAATTTTATTTTATATTATTATATAAATAAAATTATAAAGATTATATTATGTCATTAAATTACAAACTCATATAAAGATATCTCGCTCACAAATTTAGCATCAAATTTTGAAAACCTACTCGACACACACTTTCACTTTCGAGTGTACCCTCACATTCAACATATAAATATATAACTATATAAATATATCAAAATATATAAATATATTTGTATTTATATATTTATATATTTACACGGATATATATTTATTTGTATATAAATATAATTTATTTGTAAGTTATTATCAAAAAATTCCGAGTAGTTTAGTGGTTGGAGTATCAACCTCTTCTCTTAAAAAATTAATAAACTTCTAAAAAATATAATATAAAGAGATGGAGGACCTTATAAAAATATAATATAAAGAGAGGGGAGACTTCTAAATAAATATTAGAACCGACGTTGAAGGTTTTATTTGTAGTAGTGTTTATGATGA